TCCTGAGTTCTGAGAAAGGGTCACCAGACCTGAAACATTAACTCTGATATTTTCTTCACAGATGCTGCCAGACCTGCTGAGCTTTTCCAGCAACTTCTGGTTTTGTTCCTGGTTTACGGAATCCGCAGTTCTTTCAGGTTTTTACTTGGATATCACACTAGTTGCTGCAATTAAAGAAACATTTCTGTCAGCTTGACTCCTTGGAAAAAATAATCTGGTATTTGGAAGTTCTGGATTAAAGTTTTAATGCTTTAAAATATTTTAAAGTTTTAACTTGAGCATGCATCATCAACATTTCAGTGCAATATTAAGATATTAGTACGTTGTCAGAGATGCCATCATTTATATCTAAGTTTAGATGGGGCCCTGTCTACCTGTTCAGATAGATGTAAAAGATCTCACAACAGTATGATAACAGTCTTCCCTAGATCATCCAAAGCAGATTAACTAGGCATTATTTATTTATGTTGTATTCAAATTTAATTGCTACATTTACCCATATAACCAGTGTCTGTAATAGAAAAGTGACTAATTTGGCACATCCCAAATTGTAAAAATTTCTTCGAATTCATTTTTAGTTTTGAGTTGTAATTGTATTTGTTGACTAGTTATATGCTGTGTTGTAATCAAAACTTTAAAACATTAATCCTTTCTAAACAAAATTTAAGATTAAAATTGCATGTTTATAACTTGTTCTTATAATAATGTGGAGAAGTGCTTTACTTATTAGGTTCTTCCTGCATCTCGGTGACTATGGCTCTGCCATCCAGTTCCTGGTGATGTCTAAGTGTAATGATGAAGCATTTCAGCTCGCCCAGCAACATAATCAGATGGAAGTCTATGCTGATATAATTGGTAAGCCCATATTTCGAAGGGGAACTGGCTTGAAAATGAGCAAACAGCAGAAATACAAACTTTCACCCAAAGTATTTCTTCAGGTGTCTTAGTTTCATGGTCAAAAAAGATGGGAAACAATAATGAATCTGAATTAGATCAAAGAAAATGCAAGAATATTGTCCTTAATGGTTGTGTGAATTTCTGTTTTAAAACATTGAAGAATGCAACTAACAGTACAAGTAGACTTGATTGTAGTTGTCGTAAGGCAGCCATTTAGAATCCATTGCCCAAGTGAACCAATGTAATGTAGAGTCAGACAACATAGAAAGAGAACCTTTAGTCCAACTCGTGACCTAGTTCCATTTGCCAGCACTTGGCCCATATCCCTCTAAACCCTTCCTATTCATAAAGCCATCCAAATCCCTTTTAAATGTTGTAATTGTACCCACCTCAACCACTTCCTGTGGCAGCTCATTCCAGATGCGCACCACCCTCTGCGTGAAAAAGTTACCCCTCAGGTTCCTTTTAAATCATTCCCCTGTCACCTTAAAACTATGCCCTGTAGTTTTGGACTTCCCCACCCTAGGAAAAAGTTGTCCAGTTCCACATTTTTTTTTGACCTTGGCTATTCGCCCTATCCATGACTCTCATGATTTTATAAACCTCAATAAGGTCATCCCTCAGCCTCCAACACTGCAGGGAGAAAAGCTCTAATCTATTCAGCCTCTCCCTATGACTCAAATCCTCCAGTCTCAGCAACATCCTTCTAAATCTTTTCTGCACCCTCTCATGTTTACCACCTTTCCTATAGAAGGGCAAGCAGAATCGTACACAGTATTCTAAAAGTGGCTTCACCAGTGTCCTGTACAGCCACAATATGGCATACTCAAATGTTCTGATCAGTTAAGGCAAGTGCGCCAAATGCCGCCGTCGTCATCATGTCTACCTGAGACTCCACTTTCAAGGAACTACACTTGTGCATCCCTAGGTCTCTTTGTTCAGCAATACTCGCCAGGGCCCTCCTGTTAAGTGTGTAAGTCCTGCCTTGGTTTGTCGTACCAAGGTGTAACCCCTCACATTTATCTGAATTAAACTCCATCTGCCACTCCTCACCCCATTGGCCCACCTGATCAAGGTCCTGTTGTACTCTGAAGTAATCATCTTCACTGTCCACTCCACTAATATTTCTGACATGGCAGAAAGAGTGTAACAATTTGTAAGTCAATAGATGTGAATCTGGCAAAGCACAGCAGGCCAGACAGCAATCCGAGGAGTAGGAAAGTCAACATTTCGGACTGAAAACCTTCGTCAGGACTGGGGAGGGAGAGGGGAGCCCAGAAGTAAATGGAGGGAGGCAATTGGGGAAGGGTAGATGGGATGGTGATAGGTGGATGCAGGTAGTTGTGATTGGTCAGTGGGAAGGGTGGAGCAGATAGGTGAGTAGGAAGATGAGAGGAAGGGTCTAGGCCCGAAACGTCAGCCTTCCTGCTCCTCTGATGCTGCTGGGCCTGCTGTGTTCATCCAGCTCCACACCTTGTTATCTCAGATTCTCCAGCATCTGCAGTTCCTACTATCTCTGAGTAGAAAGATGGACAGGTTAGTTCAGGTCAGGGCGACGAGAAGGGGCAGGGCTGGACGTGGGATAAAGCTGGGGGTGGATGGGTTTTGAAGCTGATGAAGTCAATATTAAGGCCATTGGACTGTAAGCTCTCAAGGCAAAATATCAGGTGTTGTTCTCCAGTTTACATTTGGCCTCACTCTTGACAGTGGAGGAGGCTAAGGATAGACATGTCGCCAGTGGAGTGGGAGGGTGAATTAAAATGGATGGTAAACAGAAGATTGGGTTGGTTGGTGCGTGCAGAGCACAGATGCTCGACGAACCAGTCTCTGATATAGAGGAGACCACGTTGGGAGCAACGGATACAATAGATCAGGTTGGATGAAGTACAAGTGAATTTCTGCTGGATCTGGAAGGATTGTTTGGGGCCTTGGATGGAGGTGAGAAGGGAGGTGCAGGGGCAGGTGTTGCACCTCTTGTGGTTGCAGGGAAAGGTACCGGGTGTGATGGAGAAGCTGATGGACTATTTGTGACTTGTGTCGACATCTCTAGGTCTTGTTTGTTTTCTTCTATTTTCCCTTTTCCAATTTCCTCACCCAATGCTACCAGGACCTGATCCTCTCTGATAGTTCACGTTCAACTAAGATTCACATATTCACTTTCAGTAAGGGCTGTTGATGGATAGAATTTAGAAGCCAAAAAAAACACTTGGCCATTTTCTCTCCATACTACAGAGGTTTGATCCCATTTACAGTGCCTCTATCTTCACTTGGCTCATTCAGCACTTGATGAAGAATGAATCTGAGACTAGCCTGATCTGTATTGTTAAGCTATTTACTGCATATGCCAGCTCAATTGTTTTATATTTCATCAGATAAAAGAACTTTTTTAAACTGAAAGTTTCTCCCTCCCCTAGAATTTATCAAAACATTAGTTTAGGTTAGGTTAATGTTCATACTGCTTCTCGGCAGGTTCTGATGCCAATAATGAAGACTATCAGAGTATTGCATTGTACTTTGAAGGTGAAAAGAAACATTTCTTGGCTGGAAAATTCTTCATGCTTTGCGGCCAGTATACCAGAGTAAGTACTTGATTGTGTATTTGACTTCCCCTTTCAAGATCATATTTTTTTAAATGAGTAGCCGTGAAATAAATACACAGAATACTGGAGAAACACAACAGTCTGGCAACATCTGTGGAGGAAGAAACAGAATTTTGAGTACAGTAGGGCTCTTTAGTGGAAATGCACTCTGATTTGGACCTAGATGAATGGCACATAATGAGAGTATGTAATAGATATGCGTACTAATTTACAAAACTATTAGACGGCTTTCTGTCACATTGGATGAATATGAATAATTCTGGCTCCAACCACCTAGAGAGCATAAAGCAGAGCTTGTCCTTTTTGCAGCATGTACTTCATTTCTATGTCATCTTGCAGATCTAAAGGCATTGTCACTGTTGCCATCCATATCTATTATAACATTTGTGTGGACGTTTCTCCATGTGAGAATGCAGCAACACAGTGTAGAAAATCACTCAACTCAACACAGCACTGTACTTCCACACACCTTGGAAAATTTATCAAGAATTACTTTACCTGCCAGTTTAAATGCCTGGCTCTGTAAGGAGTATTAGTGAAGAGTCCATTTTGTGGCCTCATGACAGGTCTTTTAAGTGTAATAAACAGACTTGGTTAATTCATATTTGGATTCCTGGCAGCATATCAAGATAGCAGAGTTTCCAAGCCTTTCTGTACATGTCATGAACACACCTGCATGTTTCCTTCTCATGCTATTAAATCTGGCTGGGTCACTTAACAGCATATCCCATTTCCAGGCAATAGCAATTGTGCAACGCTTATGTGACTTAATTTCTCATCCTGTCCTTTCAATCAAACTTGTAGTCCTCTCTCCTGATATTTCCTTATGTGGTTCATTCTCAAATTTTGTTCCGTAGCACTCCCATGAAAGAACTTGAAATGATTTACTGTGTAAAAATGCTGTACAAATGCAAATTATATTTTTCACACATTGATATTTATTTTAAAGGAAGGCACACTACTAACTTTATTCTTAACTATATTTTTTAACAGGCATTGAAGCACTTCTTGAAATGTCCGGTATCTGAAGATGGCCAAGCTATCGAGATGGCTATTGAAGCGGTAAGAGTACAGTAATGGTGTGTGACAATTGTGAGAGATGAAGAAAAGACTATTCTTTAAAGTTCTACAGAACAGCAATCCTTTGGAGCTAGTTGAGAGGGCCTTAATTTTTCATGTAGAAAAAAATCCAGAACTTCTCTAAAACAGTATTGTTAGGGCTGACTACCAATTACATGGTTGATAAGGCATGCTGTTTAAAGCAGTAAGAGGGGTTATGTCAAATTTACAGAATAACAGTGACCTGATGCTGATAAATACATTATAAATTAGCATGGTTACTGGGCAGCAAGTTTGTCTATCTTCTGTCTTTCATTTATTGTTTGAGAAGTGGAGTGACTTCATCAGGGAAAGCAAAACCCTGAAAAACTCAACAAACGGACTGCCCTCTTATCTTGGACGGAAATGTGAATGGAATTTGATTTATAAACTGATTGTGTACCATGATCTTCTCTCACATAGTTACATCACAAATTATGAAGTGAAAGTTCCTTATTAGAAAATTATTTTTGCCTCTTTGCTGCTGTTAGGATACTGGGAAATAGGAATTGTTAGGAAATTTGGAATTGCTATGTCAGAACTCTGAAGGGTTGTGTCTGCAATAATAAAGAAAATATCCTTATCAAATTTGTTGCTCTCAGTTCTGTCTTTCCATCTAACCCAGGTTGATTACAAATTTGTCAAAGCAGAGCAAGAACTTATTTTCTCTGGTTTCTGTTTTCCATTTCTGTTCTCAAATGGAAACCATTATAAAAACCATGGGTTTTTAATTGGAGAAAGAAAACAAAATATTTCTCTGTATATAATACAAATCTTCATTACTGATTCTCTGTATAGTACAAAATTGAGCCAAAGTTGTGTTTTGTACATTCTGAGGAAGGGTCGCTGGACCCAAAAAGTTAACTCTTTCTCTCCACAGGTACTGCCAGACCTTAGTTTCTCCAGCAATTTCTGCTTTTGTTTCTGACTTAAAGCATCTGCAATTCTTTATTTTTAGCTGCATTGTATAAGTAATAAGTTAATATTCCCCCAGTGCATCTTTAGGAAGTATCAGTTTGTTCCTAATGCTCTTAGAAGATTGTACTTGCTTTTGTGGTAAATGGAGGGATTCTTGTAAGGGTAAAGAAGACACTACAGAATTGGTGATTTCTTTTTAAAGTTGTATTTTTACTTTCGCAAGGTTGGACAAGCCAAAGATGACATGCTAACTAGTCAGCTCATTGATTATCTAATGGGTGAGAGCGATGGAATGCCTAAGGTAACTTTGATTCTGAATTAATAATGCTAGATATTTTCTTATTTATTTGTACATTATATATCAAATTATGTTTTGATGTACTTTTCAATAATTTTGTAATATTCAAATAGTTCAGGGGAGGTGATGGCATACTGGTATTATGGCTAGAGTGTTTATCTGGGCACCCAGGATTGAATCCCACCATGGCAGATGGTGGAATTTGTCCCATGTACAGATTTCTTACAGTTACTTATGTCTCCACTGTGGTCTACTGTCTTCCAGCACTGTCAAGAGCTTAATACAGTCAAACTGATCAAATTTTGTTCTCAAATTCTACAAAACAAACACATAATTCCTGTTCATATTCTTTCATATTTCAAATTTTGACTTTTTATTTCTTATTTTTGCTTTCAGACAGCGACATACATTTTGTAGTTGCATCTTTTGCCTCTGTCTTTTCTTGCCTCATCACCATTCCCTTTGAGCCTGTATTCCACTACTATCAAAGACAGCATTCTTTTGGTCCCCTTGCTCAAAACCGAATGCACTGCTAACAATTTTCCATTCTGATGAAAGACCTTTGCCCTATAACATTAACACTTGGTTCTTTCTCCACAGATGTTATCTGAACTGCTGAGTGTTTCCAGCATTTTCTAATTTTATTTCAGGACCCTTGAATTTGACCAGTTATTTTCTATTTAAAACCTCAAATTTTTGAAACCATTTTTTTGATGACAAAGATGGTAAGATGCTTTGAAGATTTCAAAAATATCAATCTTGAGCAGAAATGTGTCAGGACATTTGATTTCCAGCTAAATGCTCTTGTTACATTTTTCTGCACTGTGAAATTGTCTCATTAAACCAAACATACTGATACTGAAAAGATTCTGTATGAATTTTGTGTGCATTTATTAATTGCTAAATAGCTGAAGTAGACAAATTTACACTTAAAATTCAATACCTTGCTTCCCACTCCACCCTCCCATGCCACTATTTCTCCCTTTTCACCTTGCCAATATAGGATGCAAAGTATCTTTTCCGCCTGTATATGGCATTGAAGCAATATCGAGAAGCAGCCAGAACAGCCATAATAATCGCTAGAGAAGAGCAATCTGCAGGTATGATCCATCTATACAAAAGGAAAAAATCTATGTGGAAAAGTGGGGTTTCTTTCCCTCTCTGAGAGTGAACCTTTATGGGATCAATGTTTTCATCTTGCCTTTTGGAAATTGATCTGCAAATAGTCAGTTTGCTAGGGTCCAGTCCAAGAAAGTCAGTTCTGCTTAAACAAATCCAGTTGCTCTAAAACCCCAGAAAATTTCATGTCTGTCATAGATTAATAGTCTAATGAGACAGCTGTATTTTAACTGGCAAAGGATAAACTGTAAAATTTTACTTTCATGATAGATATTAAGAAGGCAGTGAGGTTTATTGTATGTTTTCCGTTGTTTCAGGAAACTACAGGAATGCACATGATGTGTTATTTAGTATGTACACAGAGCTCAAGGCGCACAAAATCAAAATCCCCTCAGAAATGGTGACAAACCTTATGATTCTACACAGCTACATTCTGGTAAAGGTAGGAAGCTAAAACCACTCGTGTTTATTATTATGGTAGAAGCTTTTGTGTGTCATGAGCTTAGTACTCCATGCATTTTCTGGGCAGTGTGGTCTAGAATTATGTGCTTAACAGGCAACTCTTAGCTGGTGCTTTATACATGTATACCCACATTTTCTGGATAGAAAGAGCTTCTATGGCTACCATTGGCTACCAAGGATACTTGCCCCATTACACCACATGCAAATTACCATACCTTCATAGTATATTACCAACTGCAAGGTCCCTTCCAAGCCACTCACCATCCTGACCGAAAGATGTCACTGGATCAAAATCCTGGAACTCTCTCGCTAATGGCATTTTGGGTCTACCTATGTCAGTGGATCGCAGCAATTCAGGACCACCACCTTCTCAAGGACATTTGGGGATGGGCAATAAATGCTGGCTCAGTGATGCCCACACACCATGATGAATAAAGAAATGGCAAAGGCAGTAGAAATGAGGAAAAAGGAAGATGAATGATTAGCTTATCCAAGATTGGCCATTTTATACCAACAACTCTAGGGAATTCCTCATCTAATTTGAGGTCATGGAACCAGTTGGAATTCCTCAGAGAGGGAAGGAAAATTCTTCAACAAGTCAAACTCTTGAGCTCCTTGGTGGCCAAATTTGAAGAGATTAGTTAGACATTTGATATATCAAAACAGGTATGTCTACAGTATAGAGTGTGGTTGACCTAAATGAGGGAAAACAGGTGTAGAATTAAACTATTAGTATTTATTTAGGTTAACAAGTGCAGGAAGGAATCTTATTGTCACTAAGATTGATAGGATCTGGTCATCTCACTCTGCTATGCTACTCCCTGCCACTACCCCCAGCCAAACATCCTTTGATGTTTCCCTGTGCCCTAATGCTGAACTGACATCTTCCTCTAATGTCTCTGCTGTCTTCCTCATGCTCTGTTTGAGCTCATCTCATTCACGAGATTCACGCTGTGTTCCTTTGACTGCATTAAACATCTCCACGTTGTCTTCCATCTTAGTCGATATTGTAACTGGTTCTCTTTCTTTCAGGTGTTATACCATTTCTTCCCTTAAACTTCCATCATTGTCCCCTTATCAGAAGATCAATCTTTGAACCCACATTGCAAATTACCAACCATCCCTAGCCACCTTGAACCTTGTTGTTTCCCAAATCCATATTTTCCTGAAATTCCACGAATGCCGCCTATCAGGTTTTACACTGCCATGTACAAAACCTTCTGTGACCATGAGCAAAGGTAAACTTTCTCTGTTCATCTTTCTACCTGTAGCTTTTCTTATATTCCATTCTTATCTAATTATACCCAGAGAATCACTTATGAATGATTTATTTGATTTGATTTATTATCATGTGTACCCAAGTACGGTGAAAAGCTTTGTGTGCGAGCAGTAATGCCCAAAGCAAGGTCGACATTATTTGATGTCAAAGAGTCATTCATCAGTCTAATGACAGTGGGGAAGAAGCTGTTCTTGAACTGTTGGTGCATGTGTTCAAGTTTCTGTATCTTCTGCCTGACGGAATAGGTTGTAGGAGAACATTACCGGGGTTGGAGGGGTCTTTGATGTTGGCAGCCTTTCTGCAGCAATGAGAAATGGCTTCAGCACTACTACTTCTGGTGACCCTCAAGGAGCTATCCGTGGCTTCCACCTATTTCTTATCTACTTGCTGCCCATTGGTGATATCATATGAAGCTGCAGCATTACTTTTCACATGCATACAGATAACTCCCAGTTCTACTACACCATTGCCTCTCTCAACTCTTTCACTGTTGCTAAATTACCAGACTCCTCATTTGATGTGTAATACTGGATCAGCAGAAATTTTTTCTGATTAAGTATTAGGAAGCCATTATCAGTACCGTTTCCAAACTCTTCTCTACCCACCCCATCCTTCACCCTGGCAACAATCTGAGAACAAGTCAATCTATTTGCAAACCCGGTGCCACATTTGAGCTCGTGGTAAGCCCATGTCTTCCAATGCCTATTTTCACCTCCATAACTTCACTCAACTTCATCTCAACTGTTGTGCTGCTGAAACTCTTGCAGTCTTTCCTTCCATTAAGATCAAGGAAAAATCCTCCCAAACGTGGAACATTGCCTCACCTAGAGAGCTAATTCTCATCTAAAGCTGACATTGACGTGGAAATCCAACACTGCTTCCAATCTGCGAGCACCACCGTTAGATGCCCAAAATGAGTGTCTTTGATTGTAAAAAGCCATTCTGCTACCAATATCCTCATGTATAAGGCAGATGTCCTTCCAACTCCTCTTTATGGCTCAGAAGTTGGAAATAGGTATAGATGCCACTTCAAGGCACTGGAGAAGTACCATCAATGCTTTTTGAAATGGATTATCCACATCAGCTGAGAGAACAGGCATACTAACATCAGCATCCTTCAAGGAGCTAATAGCACCAGCATCAAGTCCATGATCATCTGAAACAAACTCCACTGGACCGGCCATGTGCTTAGAATGCCTGAGTTCTGACCGCCACTGCAAATCTTCTTCACCCAGTTTAAGGAAGGCACTGAAATGAGAAGATGACCAAGGATCTGCTTCAGAGACTCCCTGAAGGCTTACCTCAAGAAATGCAACATAGACGTCAACGCCTGGGAGACTCTCACTCCAAAGAAGCCAACTTGGAGGAATTTCTGGTGTGAAGGGACACAATTTTTTGGGAACACCCATCAGCAAGAGGAAATATGGAAAAGGAATTTGAGAAAGGAATGCCACTATCTTAAGAACCAATTCCTGGAAATGCCTGGCAAATGTGTAGTCAAAGATTTTGCTGTAAGATCAGGTTCATCAGTTACAGAACCCATGACCAGTGACATGGTATTTCCTAGGTGGACAATCATATTCCTTGCCAAGGATTTGGTCTCCCCAATGTAGAGATGACCGTATCAGAAGCAGAAAATATAGTATACAAAATGGAAAGAAATGAAAGTTAATTGTTATTGTGATGAAGGTTCATAATACATTGTTATGGATTCTAAAAAGGAGGTAAAGAGATTCTTTTTGTTTCTGTGAAGATGAGTTTTAAGTATCAGAAACCTTTTTTAGTAGTGGATCAAAACATAATTTCAAAGAAATTGTGTGACTTACATGAAATTGCTCAACAAGCTACCTGGTGAGATAATTGCTGAACTTTTCTTTTGCCAATCTACAGAATCTTCTTTTACACTCTACAAAAGAGAGGCCAGACACCGTTTCAGTTCAGAATATGAATAACAGCAGAAGGGCAGTTCAGTTTGGTCACCTCTATGTCATCAGGGCTGAAAAGAAGTCTTAAGCTATTTTAGCAGTTCCAAAAGACAGGGTTGAAAGAAGCCCTGAGCTTTCTTAGAGTTCAGTAAAAAAAAGTCAGTGAGTTAACTTGTGTCCATGTGTCTCAGGGAGAGAGAGCCGCAGAGAGAATCACATCTGGTGAATGTGCAGAAAACCACTGAAAGGAAATGCTTGCAATCCCTTCGGATGAATAAGAAATTAAAGAGTGAAGATAGGAGTGCTATTTCACCAGGGTTGAGTATCTTTAAAGGATATTGCGGGGGAAAAGGATTGAATTTTTTTGCTGTGTATAAAATTGATTTTAAAAATCTTGCCCTTTTTACACATATAGCTTTATTTTATCTTTCTTTTGTGTAATAAACCTTTTAATGTTAAAAGTACATTGGCAGCGTCTTGTGAATGCGTTCATTG